ATTTTCTATTTTGGAATTAACAGCGTTATCCCTCCGCAGTCCTTTCCAACCGATGGTTGGGCGGCGTGTTGGTGTTCTGTTGCCATGGAGTTTTCTGAGTGCCCGTCTCTGAGGACCAGTTGTAGCCTCACTGAGTGCCGGGCCCTGCGGTGGTGACGGGCACATGCTCCAACAGGCTCCTCCATGGCCTTGGATCCCCACAACGGGGACCGGTGTCTCTCGTGGGCCGGGCCGAGCTGGAGCCGCCTCTGGATTGGTCGCAGGCCACCTCCTGTGCGGGATGCGGGTCCGTCCTGCAGGCTGGCAGCCGTGAGGCTCCCACGGGCCTGGCTGGAGGCAGCCCAGGACCCGTGAGGAAGCGCCGGCTGGGAAACTGGGTGCCTCCCTGCAGACAGAGGCTTGGGCAGGTACCTGGGGATGCTGCCGGGCCTGGGACTCGCTGCCTGTGCTGCAAAGCTGGCTCCTCAAATCCCTCAGGCGCCGGGGAGGCCTCCACACCCGTCTGCCTGGCAGAGGGCAGCGCACTCGCCTCCCGGTGGCAGGACCCGGGGATGCATGCAGAGAAACGCCACTCTCCACAAGGAGAGGAGCCAGGCACTCTACCCCGGTACTTTCTAGAAAGATCTGGGGGCAAAGCCTGGCGCCCGGCCCTCGATGCGTGCCCATGGCATTGCTCTCCAGGTGAAGGGCACACCCTGGGGAGAGTCACCCAACAGCTTTCTGGACAGAGCGCCCTGGGCGTGCCCTTGTCCCCTCCTTTGGACGCTGGTTCTCACGCCTGCTTCCTGCAGGCAGCGGGGCGGCCTGGTGGGCTCCAGGACCCAGCGTGGAGAGAGAAGCAGGGCCCGCGCCAGGTTCTAGAGCACCATCCAGCTGGAGAGGGCGAGCTTCCGGGAGAAGTGTGGCCCCATCCGCCTGGGAGGCCGTCCTCCTCCTCCCCTCCCTGCTTGCGTGGCCCACCTGCAGGCCTCTGCCTCCCCATGCTGCTGCGTCTTCACCTTCATCAGCGTCTTGAGGCTTACTATGTTGTTGCTAAGGCAACTGACTGGAGCGGTGTCTCCAGTAGCTAAGAGGCGGGTCAGTCAGTCCTTGCACCTCACTCTTCAGAAAGGCCTGGCTTCTGTAAGTGCTCATCTGCCTAGGAATGCCACTTCTCGATCCTTCTGTTCTTGCTCGTCACGATGGGTCTCCAGCCATTCGTCCCCGTGGCGGGAGCAGCCTGTGGGAAGCCGCTCTGGGCCACGTTGACTGCGTGGAGTGGACCTGTGGCTGCTTTTTCCTGCTCACTTGGGAACCTTCCTCCTGGTCAGATGGCGTGTGGATGGGGCGGTGAGGGGACCTGAATTGTGGAGGGTCTGACCGTGCTATTGGGCTAAAGGGCTTTGGTTCAGTTTTTAAAACAATTTAAAAAATGTCGAGAGGTTTTATTGTACAGAGAAGAAATAGGTCTGTGCTGGATGACAAAATGGCGAGGTTTTTTTTAGTGTCCGTAGCTGTTTGATTTCATTCTAATATGTAACTTCATTTTCCTTAAAACTGTGCAGTAATCCAACATGTGGATTTTTCAGTGGTTCATTTAGGTACTTCATCTGTTATTGAATTTCTCATTGAAATACTGATACTCGACTTGATTTCAAGAGGTTTTTATTTTTTAATCACCTACAGATATTTTTCCTTTGATTTTTATTTATTTTTTATTTAAAAAAATCTATTTTATTGATTTTTTACAGAGAAGAAGAGAGAGGGATAGAGAGTTAGAAACATCGATGAGAGAGAATCATCAGTCAGCTACCTCTTGCACGCCCCCTACAGGGGGTGTGCCCGCAACCAAGGTACATGCCCTTGACCGGAATTGAACCTGGGACCTTTCAGACCACAGGCCAACACTCTGTCCACTGAGCCAAACCGGTTTCGGCTCCTTTGATTTTTACAATAGAAGGGAGGGAGAGAGAGAAACACTGATGTGAGAGACTTTAGTTGGTTGCTCCTGCGTGCGCCCCCATGGGGCTAGGCTAGAACTGCCCCTCGGAGCACGGGCTGGGCTCTGACCACTGGGACTCCAGCCAGGGCAAGAGTGGTTTTTATCAAAATGTAACACTGCTCTTTATAGAGAATTTCAGTAATGAGGAGTAATCCTTTATTTAGGCCAACTCGCTGCCACAGAGACTTGCTTCATGTGTTTGCTTCATGTGCACATTCATTCGGGCTCCTCAGCATACTTTTCATTGCCACACAATGTGGATGGGTGGTCTCGCCCACATCGTGTGTGTGTGTTGGGGGGGGGGGGGATGAAGACTCCTCCACGCACTTGGGTATGTTAACTTACTAATTTCAACTGCATTTAAAATAAATAATTCCGTTTTGAGCACTGTCAGTTTGGCAGCTTCATAAACTAAGGTGCCAAAGAAAACACATTAATTTATTTTAAAGAAAACTATTAAATCCTCCAGCTTCAACTGTGACCAGCTTCCACTGGGCTTCCCTCCCCATGCACAGCTGGGAGCCGCCAGCACAGGTGACTTGAGGGTGTGGCCGTGAAGGACAAGCTCCTAATAATTCTCACTGCAGAGTTTTCTCAAGCAAATTCTCAAAAGTTAAGCAGGAAATGGTGAGCTGAAAGGAGCCGTGTTTTGCACAAGAAAATGGTAATGTACACTGTCACAGAACTATGTGACTAACCCCACCAGGAAAAGCAGACACTGTTATCAGACTGGGCCTGGAAGCTACCCTCAGCCACACAATCAAGGAAATGGTGAAAAGCAGATTAAAAGGTGGAGGACTTCCAGAGGATTGGGATCTATACAAAAGAAGGAAGTGAAATTCAAAAACTGAAAATACAATACCTGACATTGAGGATTCTCAGCTGGTTCAGCAGCAGTCTGGAGACAACACGAGGTAGGGTTAGTGATCTGGAAGACAGAGCAGTGGGAAATATCCACACCCAAAGTCAGGAGAAGAGAAAGAATGAGAAAAACACAAAGAGAAGCATGAGCACAGTGAAAAATTTTAATATCTGTGTGATTGGAGTTCCAGAGAAAACATGGAACCGAAGCAGAATCAGTAGCTGAGACAGTAGCTGAGAATTTTCCGAAACTGATAAAAGACATCAATATACAGTTTTAAGAAGCATTGTATAATGAAGACCAAATAAAAGAATAGCAACAGAAAAACAATATCTGGGTACACTGTAATCAAACTATTGAAAACAAAAGACAAAAAGAAAAATCGTAAAAGCAGTCAGAGAATAAAGACGTTTCTTTCAAGAGAACAGACTGATAGCCCACTATTTAAAAGAAACTACAGAAGCTCGAGACAATGAGTAGCATCATTAAAGGGCTGCAAAAAAGTTGCCAACTTAGAATTCTATACTCAGCAAAAATATCCTTCAGAAATCAAGGCTGAAGACATTCTGGTACAAACAAACAAAAGTGAGAGAATATTTGGCCAGCTGACAAGAAGCACCAACAGCCTGTGGCCAAAGGAATGCTCCCTGGACAGAAGCACAGACTGAAGGGAGCACTGGGACACCGGAGTGGCCTTGTGACCAGTAGGAATGGTCCTGACGTTTAGAGCAATGGTTAGTGTCACACAAGTAGGAGTGTCATACCTGACAGTCATAGCTCGGAGGTGAGGCAGGATGTGGCCAGGCAGGGCCCTGCTTCCTAGGAGGTTGTCCCTGGCACGCACTGGCTGCCGTGGGTGCGGGAGACAGAGCAGAGTCCTGGGTGGGTACCCTGGCAGACGGTCTCCTGTCTCGTCCCGAATCCACGGGGTCTGGTTGCTGGGTTATGTGGGCCCCTCGGAGAGCTCCCGGAGGAAATAGATGCTTCTTTAAGAAACAAACGAGGACGCTGCACTCAGGTTTCCCCCCGATTTACACAGACACGTTTCAGAAATGGGCTGCCACGCAAGGACCACTGTGCTGGGGTCCCTGCTCTGCACCGTCAGCTGGCAGCCTGTCCACAGCACGGCCATGACCAGGGTCTAAGCAGCAGGAAGGAGCTGGGAGCCATGGGTGCACTTCCCAGAGGTGGTGGATCGGGCCCTGCCTCTGGGATGTGGTGGGTGGCTCAGGGGAGGGGAAGGGGCTCATGGAAGCCGCCTGGTCCGTTGTCCAGCCGTTGGCTGGCTCCCCCATGGGAAGGACCGGGGCTGTGGGTCACCTCAGTTCCTGCCCCGCCTTGCTCTCCGGGCTATGACTCTGGTGCTTGTCCTCATGTCTGCCTCCCAGTGCCTCTCAGGGCCGTTGTGACCGCAGCCAGGCCTGCCACACGTGGACGTTTGCAAGGGGTCTGACGGTGCAGCAGGAGGCCACCTGCCCTGACTGCTGGCCCTCCTGGGTGGGCTCCCGGCAGCCCCTCTGGCTGTGCCCAGTGCTCTTGACCCTTGGCCTGTCCTCTGGGTGCGGGCGCCAGCTCAGGCCTGGGAAGCCGCTCCGGACGCCTGGGACATGTGTCCGCACCGCTCCTCCTCAGGACTTGGGCTGCTGGGGGTCATCCCGGAGGAACCCAGGAGGCCTCTGGGATTCTGGGGTACTGGGAAGGCTCCCTGTGGGCTCAAGAGGGGTGACTGTCGTGTCCGGGCTGCCCCAGTGCCCAGGGGGCGAGAGACGCCAGGAAAGTGGGGAGAGATGCCTGAGGGCAGGCTGACCCGGGGGCCTGGGCCGCGGCGTGGCTTGGTGAAGTGGGGGGACCGCGGGACAAGCCTCGTCCAGGCAGCGGCCGCTCACTTCCCCTGCGTGTGGGCACTCGGCCTTGCGCTCGCTGTGCCCACTGGATGCCTCGCAGCCACACCAGCAGCGCGGCCGGGTGCCCGCAGGGAGAGGGGCTGGGCCAGGCCCGCCGGCCCGCCGTGTGGATGCTGCTTCTGCCGGGGCTGCGTGTGCAGTGTGTTTGACGCTGACGTGTCAGAGCGGCCGCGGCTGCCTTTGGCTCTGCCGGGTGGGGCGGGGCTGGGGCGGCTGCAGGGCCGCTGGTGATGCGCTCTGTGCTGTCTTCCAGTCAATGAGTTCACGGTCATCAGGAAGAAGTTCAAGTGCCCGTACTGCAGCTTCTCGGCCATGCACCAGTGCATCCTCAAGCGCCACATGCGCTCCCACACGGGCGAGCGGCCCTACCCCTGCGAGATCTGCGGGAAGAAGTTCACCCGGCGCGAGCACATGAAGCGGCACACGCTGGTGAGTGGGGTGGGGCGGCCAGGTCAGGGTCAGGGCTCACTTGGGGTCTGCCCGGTTGGCAGGGTCGGGTGCGGATCACCACAGGAAGCCCTGAAGTGGGGTCCACTCAACCCCCATAACTCCCACCTGGCTCTGCCCTCCGGGCCTGGGTGTAGAGGCAGGGCCACATCACACCCTCAGTTTCCTCTCCGCTTCTGGAACCCCTGCCCGTGGCCCCTGGGCCCCACTTCATTGCCCCCCACCCCCACCCCCCACCCCCGGTCCCTGTGCGAGCCCAGGCTCCCCGCCCTGTGCTGCCCCCTGTCTCTGTGTGAGCCGGCTCCCAAGCGTCAGGCATCAGGTGTTGGGGGTTTGCGTGGCCGGACATGAAAAGGTCCTTGAAATGGAGGCAGATCCCCGGAAAGGCAGGTGGGGGCCTTTGGGTGCTGAAATAAACCAGGAAGGCCTGTGGCTCAGGCTGAGGAGCTGGACCAGGAGATGCATGCAGCATCCGAGCCCCGGGATGTGCACTGCGGGGGCTCAGGGCTGCGGGGGCTCAGGGCTGCGGGGGCTCAGGGCTGCGGGGGCTCAGGGCTCAGGGGGCACAGGGCTCAGGGGGCACAGGGCTGCGGGGGCACAGGGCTGCGGGGGCACAGGGCTTAGGGGGCACAGGGCTCAGGGGCACAGGGCTCAGGGGGCACAGGGCTGTGGGGGCACAGGGCTGTGGGGGCACAGGGCTGCGGGGGCACAGGGCTGCGGGGGCACAGGGCTGTGGGGGCACAGGGCTGCGGGGGCACAGGGCTGCGGGGGCACAGGGCTGTGGGGGCTCAGGGCTCAGGGGGCACAGGGCTGTGGGGGCACAGGGCTGCGGGGGCACAGGGCTCAGGGGGCACAGGGCTGTGGGGGCACAGGGCTGTGGGGGCACAGGGCTGCGGGGGCTCAGGGCTCAGGGGGCACAGGGCTGTGGGGGCACAGGGCTGTGGGGGCACAGGGCTGCGGGGGCACAGGGCTCAGGGGCACAGGGCTGTGGGGGCACAGGGCTGCGGGGGCACAGGGCTGCGGGGGCTCAGGGCTCAGGGGGCACAGGGCTGTGGGGGCACAGGGCTGTGGGGGCACAGGGCTGCGGGGGCACAGGGCTGCGGGGGCTCAGGAGGCTCAGGGCTGCGGGGGCACAGGGCTGCGGGGGCACAGGGCTGCGGGGGCACAGGGCTCAGGGGGCTCAGGGCTCAGGGGGCACAGGGCTGTGGGGGCACAGGGCTGCGGGGGCACAGGGCTGTGGGGGCACAGGGCTGCGGGGGCACAGGGCTGTGTGGGCTCAGGGCTCAGGGGGCACAGGGCTGCGGGGGCTCAGGGGCACAGGGCTCAGGGGGCACAGGGCTGCGGGGGCACAGGGCTGTGGGGGCACAGGGCTCAGGGGCACAGGGCTCAGGGGGCACAGGGCTGCGGGGGATCAGGGGGCACAGGGCTCAGGGCTCAGGGCTCAGGGGGCACAGGGCTCAGGGGGCACAGGGCTGTGGGGGCTCAGGGCTCAGGGGGCACAGGGCTGTGGGGGCACAGGGCTGTGGGGGCTCAGGGCTGTGGGGGCTCAGGGCTCAGGGGGCACAGGGCTGTGGGGGCACAGGGCTGTGGGGGCTCAGGGCTGTGGGGGCACAGGGCTCAGGGGGCACAGGGCTGTGGGGGCTCAGGGCTCAGGGGGCACAGGGCTGTGGGGGCACAGGGCTGTGGGGGCACAGGGCTGTGGGGGCACAGGGCTGTGGGGGCTCAGGGCTCAGGGGACACAGGGCTCAGGGGGCTCAGGGGGCACAGGGCTGTGGGGGCTCAGGGCTCAGGGGGCACAGGGCTCAGGGGGCTCAGGGGGCACAGGGCTCAGGGCTCAGGGCTCAGGGGGCACAGGGCTCAGGGGGCACAGGGCTGCGGGGGCTCAGGAGGCACAGGGCTCAGGGGGCACAGGGCTGCGGGGGCTCAGGAGGCACAGGGCTCAGGGGGCACAGGGCTGTGGGGGCTCAGGGCTCAGGGGGCACAGGGCTCAGGGGGCACAGGGCTGCGGGGGCTCAGGGCTGCGGGGGATCGGCTGGGCGTGAACCAGTGTGACGGGAAGTAGTGGGGCAGCCCTGGGGTCCAGCGGAGATGGGAAGAGGGCATCAGGGTGATGTCGCTGGTTCGGGTGTCTTGGTCCTCAGTGGGTACACAGGCTGGCCGGCTCTCTGCAGGGGGGATTGGCATCGGGAGCAGAGCCACCGGGAGGCCTGGCGGGAAAGCCACCCGGCAGCCTGGGGCCGTGTCACATGGTTGAGGGTGGCCCAGGTGTGGCAGACTGGGGGTGAGGCAGGACCCTCAGGCCTGGCTCCTGACAGAGGGACCCTGGAGCGAGCAGCGCCCACCACCTGGCCTGCAGCTGGACGCCGGGCTCTGGCTGATGAGAGATGCTGAGTCCCGCAGCCGCCCCCGGCCCCGGCCGGAGGGCCCCGTCCCAGCTGCTGCTCCCAGGTGGGTCCAGCTGCTCCGGGAGTGGCCAGTTGGCAGCCCCGGAGCCAAGGCCCACTCTGCCCTGGCTTTGGACCCTGTCCTGCTCTGCCCGTCCAGAGGGCCCCACGGGCTCCTGCCAGCCGCTGCTTTCCAGGGAGAGCATCTGCGTCCACAGAGAAGGTGTCTGTTTGTCACAGGTGCTGGGACGCTGTGACATGGGTTGCTATATTTTTTTTTCAGTAACCCACTAAATTAATTTCTACTTAACCTGCTGAAATGGAAGTGCAGTTGTGGGCTGCACTGCAATGACACAGGTGATAATATAGGAATTTCTTCATAGTTACATGAGAAGCTGGAAAAACCATTTACAACGAAACCCTGGATGTGTGGAAATCAAAATTAATTATCTTAATTGAATAAAAGCTCATAATTTGGTAAAAAGGTTAGAATGAGCCAGTGACCTGAGAACATACAGCACATGGGTCAGAGGAGGGAGCGAACGCATGCACGCATGCCCACCACCCGCAGGAGCCGCAGAGGGAGCCGCAGAGGGAGCCCGGTCTGACCGGGAGCCCAGAGGGAGCCGCAGAGGGAGCCCGGTCTGACCGGGAGCCGCAGAGGGAGCCCGGTCTGACGCAGTGGGAGCCGCAGAGGGAGCTGCAGAGGCGGGCTGAGCCGCGGCCGGTCCCCCGGGCACACGCGGGAACCGCACCTGTCCGGCTGCAGCTGCACCGTGTGGTCGTGCTAGTTTCCGGCGAACAGCACGGGGGCAGTCCAGCTTACGCTTTACGGGTGCAGTACCCACCGGTACCTTACTAGTACGTCTTTCCTTTGGCAAAACCACATTCTCCGTTCGGTACACTGATCCCGTGGATTCATGGGGTTCGTGGGGGGCTTCAGGGAGGGTCGGAAACCCTGAAAATGTCCTCGAAATTCGAGGGCTGTCCTCGCGGAGGGACCCGCACTTCCCCTTCAGCTTCCCAGTTTGCTGTCTTGTTGGGGAGGAAGCCTGGATCTAAAGTGTGTCAGACAGACAGACAGACACCCAGGAGGGTCCGCAGAGCCTGGCCGGGGCGGGAGCCGCGGGCAGCACCCGGCTCCAGGGCCTGGCTGGCTTCCCCGAGGGGCCCCAGCCCCGATCCCGACCTCACGCAGCTCAAGTGTGAGCACACACGTTAGCGTGGCAGGCTCAGGGTTCGGGGGTTTGTGGATGGGCGTGGCAGGACGGGGGCCACTGGGGAGGGCAGCCGAGGGCACCGGGACAGTGGCCACCCCGTGTGGTGCTGGCGAGCAGAGGGGAAGCACACAGCCCTGCCAGCCCTTCGCCAACAGGCCCGCTGGCCCCGGCGCCGCTCACTGCCCGCCCGTTCCCGCAGGTGCACAGCAAGGACAAGAAGTACGTGTGCAAGCTGTGCAGCCGCGTGTTCGTGTCGGCCGCCAGCGTGGGCATCAAGCACGGCTCGCGGCGGCACGGTGTGTGCGCCGACTGTGCGGGCCGCGGCGGGGCCGGGCCGCTGGGCGGCGCCGGGGCCGCGGGCTCCCCAGAGCCGCTCTCCGGCGACGGGCCCTACCTGGAGGACCCCGACGACCCCCGCGGGGACGGCGAGGAGGAGCTGGGCGAGGACGAGGACGACGGCCTGGCCCCCGAGGACGCGCTGCTGGGGGAGGACAAGGACCAGGACTCGCCCCGGGGGCCGGCGGGCAAGGACTTTGCCTGGATCTCCTAGGCCCTGGGCGGGCACCAGGGTGCTGGCTGTGCCACCCTCCGTCTGTGTGTGCATGCTTAGGGTCTCCCTGGCCCGGGAGGGCATCGGAGCCGCTGCCCCTCCTCCCGGCCCCTTGGTTCTGTCCTGCCCCGGACCTGCCCGAGGGCCAGCCCCGTGGTCTCGGGAGCAGGTGTGGCCTCCGCCCCGGGGGCTGCGGGATCAAACACGAAGTTGGTGGGGCACAGGGAGGTCCCCACCTGTCATCTTTGGGGGCAGAGAGTCCCCCAAGGGGCCCGGCCTGGGGCACTGATGGCGTAATGGCCAGGCCAGGTCAGCACTGCTTGGGTGTCGGAGTGGCCCCGAGGTCACAGGTCCGAGATATGAGGAGCTCTGACCCCAGGGCCCGGCTCCGCAGCGCTCGCTGCCTGCGGCCCTCGCTCCGAGGCGCCGTGGCCCGGGCGCCTGGGAGCCCCTGCACAGCCCGGGCCTGGCTCTGGGCGCGGTGCTCGCACGGAGCAGCGGCCGCCCCGCTGGCCGGGCTCCCAGGTGCTAACTGCTGGGGGCGGGGCTGGGCCCAGGGTCCCACGCTGTTCCATGTGCACTTCTTTGGGGCGCCCCCGCGCCTGTCCCCTGGCTCTCCATGCCTGCTGCCCCCCGGAACCAGCCCTGCTGCTGCTAACACTGGAGGCGGCGTCCTGCTGCCACGCACTGCCACGCCCGCGACGGCTGGCCACGCCGATGGGCCCACGGTGCGGCTGCTGGCTTCCCTCCTCGCACCTGGCCGCAGGGTCTCCGTGGTGCGTGGCCAGGCCCTCGTGCTGCCTTTCGGCGCTCACAGCCTGCTCTCCTCTCTTCCGGGCGAAAAGCACCGGCCTGGCGCTGTTACTCAGACCTCCCGCCTCCCTGCCTCCAGGCACAGCACAGGCCCCTGCGAGGGCTCCGGTGCCACACAGAGCGTGGCTTTTCCTCTGCCCAGACTGAGCCCGAGGCTTTTACCAAGTTCCTATTGCGTCACATCTATTCCCGGTGGACCCCGCGCGCCCTGTGGGTTCGGCCCCGAGGTTCCCCTGCAGGGGCTGGGGCCGCCCCGCCCAGGTGGGCGCGTGGGACATGGTGCTGTCCTTGAAGTCCTGCCCCCGGGAGAAGCCGCGCTTTTGCTTTTACTTATTTATTTTTTAAGTGAGATCAGCCGCCGTCCCATCCGTGGCAGAGGACACTCGGAAGGGCTGCTGCCCAGCTGCCTGCGCCCGCTTCCCTTGGCTGCAGACCCTGAGCCCGACACTGTCCTTAAGAGGAACGGCCACGGTTGTCCACTCTCCTGCGGGGTGGCCAGGCCGTGCGAGGGCTTTTGGGCATGTTTCCTGCCTGTCAGCAGTGAGGCCCAGCCGAGCCCCCACTGGGCTCTCAGAACTTGTACTTCCCCCCCCTTTCTAGCCCTTTTTCTAAACAGACCTCCTTTCTTATAGAACACGTTTGAAAACAGACCTTTGCAGCCGACAGGTGTCTCTGGTTCTGTGCCGGTCCACCTCAGGCCACCTGCCCACGCCAGGGCCACCTCCACTCAGGACACCTGCTGTCTGCGCTGCACACTGCCCCTGCTGACCCGGGGCTCACGCCCATGCCACGGGCATTTCCTTCCCAACACCACCCTGCTGGGAAGCCAGGGCCCCATGTGCAGGCGTAGCAGCGACGGGATGGAGACACATACCGCCTCTCAGGAGGGCAAGTGTCACGAAGGGTCATTTCATGTGACTGATCTTTTTTTTAAATCAATGTCTAAGCTAATAAATATTTTTTTTATGAAGAGGAAAAACTGTGTAGATTACATTTCACATTTTGTACTTTTTCATTTGTATTTTGGTGTTGGTGATGCCGAAGTGGGACACACAGCCCACTGGGTGGCCTGTGGGGGTGACGGGGAACCCACCGACGTTTGTATTAAGCTCTGGATCCTGACCAGGGTGCTCATTTGGACCCTGGGTTTTGGGAAAGTCACAACACTGCCAGGACTCAATAGGGACCTTGACTCAAAAGACACAGCTCCTGCTTCCAACTTTGCACATATCTCTTTATAAAAAAAAGAAAATGCAAAAACTGGAACTTCTTGCAATTTGATGAAAGGTAATTTACTTTCCCTCATTTTGTGACACGTGCAACTCTAAAGCCATACTTAATGGTGGTTGTTTGTTAGCGCCTGCGTGGCTCCGTACGCAACCCTTTTAGAGCTCCTTGTTGGGAGGGTGTGTGCTTTTCTTAAATATTTATTTTTTCAACATGCTTTCGACCTGTCAACAAAAACAAATGACAACAAAAGAAAAGGGCCGTGTTTGAAGACTTGGTTTTTTTGGGGATAATCTATATTATACTGACTTTATATTATTATAAACCTGTGCTGGCAATGGGGACAGCGAGCATTTGGGGGAGTTCTGTGATCGGCTGGGGAGCTGCCGTCTGCTCCTCTGCCGCCTCGGACAGGCAGACAGGCCCTCTCCAGCGGGTCTGCGAGCTCGTCTGCTTGGGCTGGGCCGCCGGGGCTTTCTGTGACGGGAGAGTGTGGACAGTCTTGCAAAGCGATCACTCAATAAACTGGGAAATTGCTGCTCAAGCAGATGCCTCGTGTGTGTTTGAGCTGGTCCCCTCCCACAGCCTCGCACTGAGCGGAGGTGGCCAGTCGCCCACCCACCAACATGCCTGTGGCAGGTCTCAGGTCCGTGTCGCGCCCTCTTCAGGAGGCAGGCACGGCTCCTGGAAAAACCCCAAAGTTTAATTTTTCTGCTTGCCTGGCACTGTCCAGACACAAGACACCTGAGCTTCAAAAACATGGTACAAATGTCAGCTCCGGGCCCTGAGCCATCAGGATAAGTGTGACACGGAGCCCCCAGTGCTGCCCCCCCCTCCCCCCCCCCAGTGCATCCAGGTCTGGCTCCCACGTGGCCTCAAACCTGGGCCTATCAGCATCCTTGACAAGTCCACGGATGGACAGGGCGGACGGCCACCCCAGGGACCTGTGTGGCTGTCGTATAGAAGGCTGGCTCCTTCAGAGGCACTTTGGTGGTGGCACCTCCCCCGTCGGGGTCCAGGGACGCCCCTCCCCATGAGAAGGCAGACCCCGTACTGCTGGAGGCTCTGAGCAGGGGGTGCAGTGTCTTCTGCAGAACCTGTGGGCGGCGCAGGCTCAGCGGTGCAGTCCGGGCTCTGGACCTGGTGCCGCCCTCAGGCCAGGAAGCGCTGGCAGGCCTTCTTCCAGCGGCAGGCGGTGCACCACAGGCCCGGGCGCTCCGAGCAGTACGCCTTGGCGTCGCCTCAGGGCTTCCTAGGGGAGCACACAGGGAGCATGGAGTGCTGTTGGGCTGGGACCCTCCCCGCCTGCCCCTCAGCCCACATGCACCTCAGACTGGCACTGAGCTTGGAGGGCAGGGCTGGCATGCAGGCCCTGACTGTGTTGGGCGGTGGCTGCAGCTGGGTGGGTGCCAGGCAGCCCTGCAAGGAACGGAGCTGTGGCCTTGCTCCCGCCCACCCCCACGGCTGCCTGTGAGCGCCCGCACCCCCTGGTAGGGCGGTCACTGTGACGCAGCCGGGAGGGTGCCACAGGACTCGGCACCTGGGGCGGGGGCAAGGCCAATGGGTGCAGCAGGCCGAGCAAGGCTGGAGGCTCCAGCAGCTCCAGGTGAGGGAAGGTGGGCAGCAGGGAGGCTGTGGGGGACACTGGGGTCAGCACCTCCAGACCAATGTCCAGCTCCATGTAGTAAAAGTCCTCCTCGCCATCACTCTGCTCTGGCTCTGCCTGCCGCCTGCGGGGACAAGGCAGGTGGGAGCTGGAGCGCTGGCCCGCTTGGCCCAGCCCACCCCCACCCGCCTGCCCCACCGCACCCCAGTGCGCCAGGCGGATGTGTCTCTGCATCCCGGAGGCTGTGCTCAGCACCTTCCCACAGCACTTCCACAGGCACTGGAACCGGACCTGCCCCGAGCTCTGGACGACAAGGGCTGGTGGTCAGGCTCCCACCCGGGTGTCCATCCCGCCCTGAGCAGATTCCCCCGCCCCCTTACCTTCCTCTTCCGAGGCACAGGCTCCCCAAACAGGAAGGCTGCCTCTGGGGGCAGCGGGGGTGACGGGGAGGATGGAGAGGACTGCTCGCTGGCTGGGTCCCAGCCCGTCTCCACTGCTGCTGCTGTAGCTGGCGGGTGGCTGCCCCAGGGTCTGGGGCCAGGGCTCCCAGCAGGCGTCTGCAGGGACACGCCAGGCCAGTGTCAGGACCTGAGCGTGCTCATGCCGCTCTGCAGACTGCTGCCGAGTCCCTTAACTCTGAGCCTCGCCTGGTCACCTAGTCACGGGGACGTTGGGTGGGCACCAGCCTCTTGGAGGCGGCGGTGGCGAGGAGGAGCTGGCCCAGCAGCCTGGGATCCTCTCCCTGGGACAGAAGAGATCGGTGGAAAGATGCATGGCCGGGAGTGGCGATGCTGCAGGCCTGGGCACTGGGGTCCTGACGTCCATGTTTAGAAGGCGGCATTGCAAGCGAGGTCCTGGAGGAACAGGGGCCTGGGCCCGCCCCCTTCCACACTGTGCAGGCCTCTGTCTCACCTGTGCTTAAGGCTGCAGCAGGGGGCCTCAGCAGGAGGGGGCTGGTGGACAGGCTTGTGAGGGCTGCGGCAGCCATGACCTCATCCAGCCGGAATTTTCCTTGGGGGGCTCTGGAGGAGAATGGGGTGGGGCTGGTGGGGCCCAGCAGTACTCTGGAACCCTCCTTGGTCCAGGCACCATGTGTGTGTCTGCGTGTGCGTGTGCGTGTGCGTGTGTACCAGGCTCTGGCTGGGCGGCAGGCCCAGTTCCACCCCCGGGTCGGGTTGCAGAGGCCAGATCTCCAGGAACCACCAGGAACAAACAGGGTCTGGACTGGAGTCTCCCTAAAGTGTCCCCTTTACCGGCGCTGGACACAGAGGCCCAGTGCTCCCCAATCACACATTCACCAGGGTTGAGCAACAGCAGCGGTGGGCCAGGCCAGGCCTGGGGACGGGTGGGGGTTGTGGGGAGTAGCCAGCAGTCAGCAGCGGCCAGGGGAAATGCTCCAAGCACAAGCGAGCCCTAAGCCCCAGCAGAGCTGGGCCAGAGCCCGCCCAGGGCTGACAGCCAGCCAGGTGCCCAGTGCCCAGTGCCCAGGAGGGTTTGGCGGCCAGAGACCCTGATCCTGGGCGGCCAGCCTGGCGGCGTAGCCTCTAAGGCAGACTGGCAGCGGCCGGCTGGGCCCTGGCCCTGGGAGTGCGGGCCAGGACGCGGCACGCCCACCGCCTGCTCTGCACTGGCCGCCACCCCTGCGGCTGGCGCGGCTCACCTGAGCGCCGGCGCCGGGATGAGCGCCGAAGGCGTCGGGGGTCCCGCTGCCGCCCCTGCCCCGGTCCCCAGAGCCCGTGGCTCTGGCTCCTGCGGAGGCGCGAACTCCAAGCCCGCCAAGCCGCCGCCGGTGGCAGGGCCCTGCGGCCCGGGGGTGTCAGCGGAGGCGGCGGCCGGGGGCCCGGCCCCCACCCGGACCCGCTCGTCCCCCAAACCGCGGCCGGCGAGCCCGCCCCCAGCCCCGCGGACCCACGCACACACGCAGGCCGCCGCCCCGCCTCCGTCCGGGGCCGGTTTGTGCAACCCCGACGCCATTTTTGCGGGAGCGCACTCTGCTGCGCTCCCCGGCGCCCGGTACCTGCGGCGACGCGGGCACCGACACGGGCGCGGCCTTGGGTTCCGAACCGGCGGTGCGGGGAGGAGGGTGCCCGCAGCCCGGTCCGGGCGCCAGGCGGCGCTGGGCCTCCATGGCCCGCCGGCCGCGCCGAGGCTGCAGCGGCGAGGGTGGGCGCTCGGGACCAGCCCCGGAGCGACGGCAGGCCCCGCCCCCGAGCGCCCCGCCCGGCGCGCCTCATTGGGCCGCGCTCAGTATCAGCATTCCGAGGGGACGGTGCTCTGGGCAGGCCGCGACCCCATTGGCCTGCGCCCCGAAGCCACGCCCTCAAGGCCCCACCCCGCCGCTCCCGATCCGCGCGGGCCAGGAGGGGCCCACCCCTCCGCTCTGCGGCCCCGTGGAGCCGCGGGGGGCCGGCTGCCTTGTGGGGTGCCCCAGCGCAGAGCTGCCGGGTCCGGAAAGGGGCCGCATCTCTTTGGCTGGGTCCCCAGAGCCGGTTACTCTAACGCACGACTGCCTACCTCTCCCTCCCCTATGTAGTGGCCCCTGGGCTGGGAGACCCGAGCCCTCCCTCCCGACCAAGCCCGACCTTGGGCAGCCACCCTGCTGACTGGCTACACCCGCTTTAGAACCATCTGGTCTCTCTCCCCACACTGTTTTGCGAGCCAAGGCACCCCGGGAGGGAGGCAGCCTGTCCCTGAGGTAAGGGGATGCTTTTTACTCCTTCCAAGCAGCCCTCCCGGGCCTCGAAGGAGAGCAGGCTGGGCTCCTGGTGTTCATCCTCCCCGCGCTGGGCATTTATTAAGACGCTGGCAGGAGAGGCCAGGGCAGCCAGGACCCCAGACCCTCAGGCTGCCCTCTGTGGGGGGCTGTGAGGAAGAGGGACGCTGGAAGAAGGAGTATCTGTCCTTGGGTGATAGGGCAGGAAGGGGTTGGAGACCCCTGCGTAGTTGAGCCCCGCAGGCGGAGGCAGGAGAGGCAGGCCTTCGTGTCTGATCTGTTAGCTAGAGCTGGGGGCTGCCGGCTGGAGCCCCAGCTCCTGGATGCTCTCGTACACGTTTTCTAGATCGCTGTGGGTACTCAGGCCCCTGAGTGGGGGGGCCTCGTAATCCAGGTTCCTGCCCAGAGTCAGAATTGCTGCCCTGCCTTTGGGGTCCAGCTGGTCTAGGGCAGATCGCGGGTCCCTCCTTTTAGGCTTGCTGATCCTGGAGTATAGGATATCCACCTGGAGGGAGGAAGCCCACCCAGGGACGGGTCAGCATCTTCGACACTGGCAAGGATCTGCCCAGCCCACCCACTGCCCCCCATCCAACCACCTCCACTTTACCTGAGTGGCTGGGGTCCCCTGGGTCTTCCCCTGATCCAGGCCTAGGGGACCCCGAACTGTCCCCTTGAGCTTGTGGATACAAGCATACTCAGCCACCACCGGTCTGGCCTCAGGCCCGTCTCTGGCACAGCTGCTGGTCAGCCCTGCCCCTACCCCTGCCCACACCACGGGGATGGCTGCCAGGCTGGCCCTGGGGATGGCTGCCAGCCCCACATTGGAATAGGTGGCCTCAGGGCCCGTGGAGGGCTGGGCAGCAGCAGGTGAGGTCCGGGGCAGTTCCCGGTGTGAGAAGGCGGCTGGGGGCCTCGTGGTGTCTCTGGCCACCTCCAGACATTGTGGGCGCAGATCCATGCTGGCAGGACGAGGGGCTGAAAGTGGGGTCAGGGCAGAGATCAGTGGGGTGGAGAGGGAGGGTCCAATCCCAGCAGGTGAGGGTGTGGTACAGCAAGCCCTCCCCTCCCTCGGACTCACCTGCACGGTGCAGCGGCCCCTGGTGCAGCTCATGCAGTCTGGTGTCTGACTTGCTGAGGATGCAGAGCGGGGGCCGTCTCAGCAGGCTCTGGGGGCAAGGAAGGCAGGTCAGTCCCCGCTGGCCCCGACCTGGCCCCAGTGGCAGCCTGGCACTCACCATTTCCACTGGCATCATGGTACCCTGCAGCCCAGCTGGCTGCCTCCGAGCCTGCTTCCTGTGGGAAAGAGGGTCGTCAGGCCAGGGAAGCAGAGATGAGGGGCAGGGGCATCAGCCTCTGGTGACGGGGGACCTGCCTGAGCCCCGCCCTGTCTGGCCGCAGCGCTGAAGCAGGCTCCACGTGGAACCCAGGCAAGCGAAGGACATACCTGTGGCAGGCTGTGCACAGCACCCACAGCCAGAGGAGCAGGGCGAGGCACCCTAGGACCCAAAGGGCAGGAGGGGCTGAGGGCACTGGTGGCCCCATCCTGTGTAGCCCCGGACTGACCTGAGGGCAGAAGACAGGGGTCCTGGGGGCTGGCTGAAGGACTGGGCGCCCACCTGCCACCCACCTCGCCTCACGGTGCTGGCGGTCTCCGCCCTGGGAGCTCTGACTCAGCACAGGAAACCCAAGCTCAGCAGCCCCTCCTCCTACAGAGGCCCAGAGGACGCAGCCTCAGCGCCCACCTTCCTCTCCTGCCTCCGGTTGGGGGCTCCTGGGCAGTGTGAGAACGTGTGCTTCCGGGCCCTCATGTGTGCCCAGGCCAGCAAAGATAACCCGCGACCGCAGAGCATGGCCAGAGAGGACCTGGCCAAGGCCCCATCGTGGCCACTACAGCCCAAACCTGAGATCTGGGGACGCCACCGAGGTCACACGCAGGAGCCTTCAAGCCACAGGCCACAGCCTGCCCTGCAGCCCTGCCCTGCCCAGGTGAGGCCTGTCTGAGGTGCTGCCTTCGGCATTGGCCCCGAGGGCTGGAAAGGTGGGGCCAGCTGACAGGAAGGGGCTGCTTTGGGCACCGGGCACCTCCCCCACCCCCTCCTCCATTCCCGCTATTGGACCTGTCTCCTTCCCGGGCTTTAGCAAGGCTGCAGGGGGTGGGGTCCGCTCTACAATCAGCAAAGCCCAGCACCCACACGGGGGGTGGGGGCCGAGTGCCGGACCCAGGGAGTGGGCTTCCCACACGGGAGGTCCAGTGCCGCAACCTGGCAGCCGAGTCCTCCCAGCCCCAGCCGGAGTGCTCCCTGGGGGGCTCGCAGCAGCAGGCCCGGAGAGCGGGCCAGGCTGCGGCTCAGAGGCACTTACCAGGGCCGCGGGCGCAGGGCCCTCCTCAGCCATTGGGGCAGCCAGCGGCTCCAGGAGCAGTGGTGCCTGTGCAGCTCCCCCACTTCCTGCCTCTGTGTCAGATTTCGTCTCAACCCCCTACAGCAGCAGCCGCCACCACCGCAGCCTCACCCAACTGCTGCGCCCGGCTGGGGTCCGATGACACTCAGTGGGTGTGTGCTTCGAGCTGCCATGGCGGGAGCCTACCCCTCTGTCTCCACCCACGAAGAGGTGGGCACACACTGGGAGGAGACAGGCCACCAAGCACGAGGGTAAATCCGGCTCTCAAACCCACCGCCAGGCCCTCCTGCCCATTGGCAGGACTCCCGAGGGCCCGAGTGGCCAGCCCCTCCCACTACGCTCCACTGCTTGAGTGCGGGTAGCGTGGGACCCTGGGAGACCAGGGAAGATGGCAGTCCCCGTGGGCCCTCTGCCTCGGGGCTCTTGGGGACTTCTCCAGCCCAGCCCCCTGCCCCACGCACAGAAACCTCTCCCCACACACCACAGCCAGCCGCGCCACCACTAAACGACAGCGACAAAGTCACTTTAATGTCCTTGATAAGCAGACACTGACTGGCAGGGGGCTCTGTGGGCATGTGAGCACCAAGACGTGACCCCTGTACCCCATCTCCAATGTCCACACGCCCCAGCCTGGCAATAAGGCTGACTGTGGGGTCTGGTCTGGGAGTGGCCCTCTTCTGTCGGCATCCAGTCACTGGACGATGGCAGGTCTTCTTGAGGCAGCGGGAGCTGGAGCCGAGCCCTGTCCCTGGCACATGCTGGGCTCTAGAACTCCGTCATCTTCTTGTGAGTGTCCGCCTTCCTCTGCTCCCGCTGCAGGCCCGCTTCCTGGGCCCGGAGCTGCCCCAGCTGCCGCTGGGCTCCTGCCAGCTTCTCCTGCAGCTGGGCCACCGTCGCGTTGTGCCTAGAGAGAGGCTGCCTCAGCATGGCTCCCGGCCACTGCTATAAGACCCCAGGATGCCCTGGCCACCGCCGGGCATCCTCCCACCACGCAGACCCTCCTCAGACCCAGCCACCACCTTCAGGTCAGGACGAAAGCCTGCACCTGAGCTAGGCTGGGCGCCCAGAGCAGGACTAGAGGCATGGCCACCCCGGGGCCCGTCCTCCGCCCCAAGTTCAGCCCCACACATACCGGCCAGTGTTGCGGGCGAGGGCCTCCTGGATGCCCCGGATGTCTCGCTGGGCCTGCTCAATCTTCTCCTCGGTCTGGAAGAGCCGCAGGCTCAGGGCCCGCTTGGTGCCCCTGCTGGCATGGTACAGCTCCTTGCCACTCCTCCTCCCAGGGGTGGCAGCCCCTGCCTCCAGGGCCCCAGGAGCCTGGCCCTGCAGCTTCTCATTCAGAAAGTCAAACACGCTCCGGGGGGGCGGGCGGCCCCCAGGCCTGCCTCCTCTGCCCTGGCATTTTGGGGCCCTACGAGGGCCAGCCTTGCTGCCCTTGGTCCTCTTCTGTAGGATCTCTGCACACTGGTCCAGCGACTTCCCTCGAGGCAGCACCACAGCGTGGATGGGCTCCACCCGGCCGTCCGAGTGTCGGCCCAGACCTGGGGGCACAGGGGCCGACATGCTGCTGGACGCGCCCCCATCCCCCCCGCCGTGGAGCGGCACCCCAGCCCCTTCCCCAGCGCAGCGCCGCTCACTCACCCTTGCCAAACTCATAGCCCATCTTGGCGAGCAGCCTGGAGCCGATGCCCCGCGTGTGCACCTCCCAGCCCGCGAAGGCAGAGCTGCAGGCGCCGTGGTCGGTGGTGCTGGGTCCCACCACTGCAGGAAACAGGCAGGGATGGCCCAGCGCCACAGGGAACACCTGGGCTCTGGCCAGCGCTAGCCCAAGAGCTTAGTGCTCTCTCCATCCAAGGACACGGGGCTTCAGAAACCACAGCGCATGGGACAGCCCCACAGGGACAACGCCAGTCTCTTCCTCACTGGTCCCTCGGGGCCGGACACAGGCTCCTGAAGCTCCCGAGCCCGTGGCTGTCCGCCCCCACCCACCGACCAGACCCCAGGCCCCGACAGAAGCCCCAGGAGCTGCTGCTCCCAGCAGGGGCCCACCCTCAGGCTGCACCATGGGGGTCACATTTGCACTCACACTCCTTGATGGCAAGGGACGGTCTTTGTGTCTGCATGTTTGCAGACCTGCCCAGACCCCTCACACATGCTCTCATTCCCCCACCTCCTGGGGCCTCCCTGTCTCTCCAGGCCCAACTAGTGCCCCTGCTGTGCGCCATCCATAGGAAGAGCCCACCTCACCCGCTGTCACGCTCTCTTTCTGCTTCGATGGTCCCCACCAGCCAGGAGCCTCCCGGGAGACCGCTGCCCAAGGTGCCCCTTGCCCTGTACCTCTGGCATAGCTGGAGTCGTCCGGGTCACCACTGTCTGAGTCAGAAGACTCTGCAGGCTCTGGGCGCAGTGGGGGAAGGATGCTGTCCCCCTCCAAAACGGCTTCCTTCAACAGCAGCGAGTCAAACTTGACTGTGTAGTAGCCACTGTCCATATCTGGAAGCAAGGTCAAAGACAACAGGTCCCAGCTTCACAGGGGTGGAGACTCACTGGAATTGGGAGCAAGACGGGCCAAGGCCAGGGGCGATCTCACTCCTCGTCACAGAGTGGGGACCCAACACCAGCCAAAGGAGTGGCCACAGGGGACTAACATGGAGGGGCTTCCAGGAGGGCCTGAGAGGGGCCCACCATGGGCAGCCTCACCAGTGATCCGTGCTGGGTGCCAGAGACCATCTGGCTGCTTGGCCAGGCATGCAGAACCAGCCTGCAGGGAGCTCAGGTCCGGGTCCTGGAAGGGGCGCAGCTCATCCACAGAGACCACCTGCCCATGGGAGAACCTGCAGAGAGGGCCACAGTCAGACAGCCCATAGGGGCGTGTGAACCCCAGAGAACCAAGTCTCACCGCCTGGGCATGGCCCTCAGGGAGGGAGAAACAGAACAGGGAAACAAACAAACACGTGTCCACATATACATACATACATACATACATACATACATACATACCATTTGTACACCCATACACACACATGCACACACTCGTGCTGCCTCACTCTAGCTCTCGGGATGGACGTGGCCCTCGGAGGATGAGGATGATCTCAGCTGTCTGGGCCAGGGTGACAGTGCGGCTGGCAGAGTGCCCCTCTGCCTCCAGCAGACACAAAGCCCCAGACGGCAACTGATAATCAGCGCAGGCTTTGTGTGCTCATGTGGCTGAGCCCTTCCCAAACCAACTAGCACAACCCACTTGTAACAGTGGTGCTTTGACTTTCAGAGATCAGTGCACCAACGAAATTAAAACTAAAACCGAGAGAGAGAGAGAGAGAGAGAGAGAGAGAGAGAGAGAGAGAGAGAGAAGGAAATGTGAGGATTGCAACCTTCACTTTGCCAAATAAAGACAAGAGAAAACCAACCACATATCTACCCCATGTACCATCACTTCCAGAGGAACTGCTTTAACCCCACACGAACAGCCAGGACTGGCATCTGCCCACGACATGGAGCCATGATGGGCATGGCTGTCTCTGAGGCAGGAACTGGTGGTGACAGAGGGAGAGGGCACCGAAGGAGGCATTTGTCTGGAGGAAACAGATGGCCTCAGGGCAGCTCCTTTTCACACCTGGCTGTCCTCAGGCACCAGCAGCTGCGAGTCTGGGCCCCAAATGGACAGCAGCAGAGCCTGTGGTTAAAAGCCTTCATCAACGGAGAAGCAAAACCGCAGTTCAAAAGGGGGGACTACACCAGGTGAGTGCCACCACATACCCCTTCGAGGCACACACACACACCGGCTCACACGCTAACTTTCGTCCTCATTCACACACACAGGTACAGGCATACGTCTACAGACACCACCAGCCAAACCTGTCCAGAGGACTCCTCAGCAATATTAGAAACCTTCGAATCTGGTATATTCCTTAAACCTAGCAAGCACTTCATAAAATCGTTATAAAAAAATAATGTAAGTATGCAAAGATTTAGCCATAGGGATGTTAACCAAATACTAAAGACTCAGAAATAGCCTAAATTCCCAACCATGGGAAGGAGTTAGTGGCAAATCCACCAAATGGATTGAAGCCTAAGAGAACGGGTGAATGGAAAGTTTCACAGGTAACAGGAAGTGTTAGAAACGAGACAGGAAAAGAGGGACTGTGCATTTCATAAGGAAACAACTTAAAACTGTTTTTTCATATTAAAAGAAAAACTTGCCCGGCCAGTGTGGCTCAGTGGCTGAGCATCGACCTATGAACCAGGAGGTCACAGTTTGATTCCACAGGGCCCATGCCCAGGTTGCGGGATCCATTGTCAGTGTGGGGCATGCAGGAGGCCACTGATCGAAGATTCTCTCTCATCATTGATGTTTCTATCGCTCCCTCTCCTTTCCTCTCTAAAATAAAAAAAAACCCTCCAAAATATATTTTAAAAATTTAAAAACCAACTCAATCACCCACCTCACAATATTCACAGAAACACGTCAGTGTCTCAAACACGAACCCGAGAACAAGCTCTTAGGATGACATTCTCCGAGTTCAGCTGTGGCCACGGACAGAGGTGACTGACTGAATCTTTGCCACAGAGAACAAGGCTAAAACTGCAAAAGGGTCCAAATGTACCGCCTCAGAGTGATGGCGGGAATGGGTGTCTGCAGCGTCCCCTGCAAAGCAGCAGACTCGGATGGTGGAAGTGGGGAAGACGGTAAAAACCAGGCCTGTGGTTAAAAGTGGTGGAACCAATCAAAGCCACCAGAGAACGGACAGGTCAGAAAGGGCCGCAGAGGGCCACACTCTGCACATCCTCTCCATGGAACGATGCGCAGGAATCAAGAGCTCCAAGACGTGCCAGGACAAGAACAGCGGGGGGGGGGGGGGGGGGGGGGGCAGCTGGCAATGACACTCCCCAGCTCACATAGGCGGACTGGGGAGAAAGTGTCTGAGCTCAGCTTCCCACTAAGCTCTGACGGACCACCCGGCTGCAGGGTGCTGCCTAGGAAGCCAGATTGAAAAGGAAATTTAAAATCTGCCGAGGCCGGTTTGGCTCAATGGATAGAGCGTCGGCTTGGGGACTGAAGGGTCCCGGTTCGATTCCGGTCAGGGGCATGTGCCTTGGTTGCGGGCATATCCCTAGTGGGGGGTGTGCAAGAGGCAGCTGATCGATGACTCTCTCTCATCGATGTTTCTAACTCTCTATCTCTCTCCCTTCCTCTCTGTACAAAATCAATAAAATATATTTTAAAAAAATAAAAATAAAATAAAATAAATAAAATCTGACCAGAGCCATCAGAGACTGCACACTATGGCAGGTGGCAGACTGTAATTTAGGTCCAGAAAATGTACTAAGATAAAACATCAGGAAAAACAATTCAGAAGCCAGAGTTGCTAAA